TTACTACGACTACTTCTACTACCACTAATACTACTACTACTACTACTACTACCACTACTACTACTACTACTACTACGACTACTACTACTACTACGACTACTACTACACGTATTACTTGTACTACAACTTCTACTACTACGATTACTACTACTACTACTACTACGACTACTACTACGAATACTATTAGTATTCTTGCTGCAACTACTACGAGAGTACCTGCAACTTTCACTTCGACTATTACTACTACTACGATTACTGGTACTATTACTACTTCTACTACCGCGACGCATACTACTGCCACGACTACTACTACCACTCCTACTACTACTACTACTACTACTACTACTACTACTTCTACTACTACTACGACTACCTACTACTACTAAAGATAGTTTTGTCATTACTTCTACTACCACTCCTACTACCACTACTACTACTACTACGAATACTACGACTACCTACTACTGCTTCTTCTACTGCTTCGACTATCACGAGTACTACTACTACTACCGCGACGATTCGTACGACTACTTCTACTACAGCTAGTACTACTACTACTCGGATTACTATGGTTAGACGAATCTTAGTTTTATTTCTACTCTTCGATTACGACTACTACTCCTACTACTACTACTACTACTACTACTACGACTACTACTACGACTACTACTACTTGTAGTGTTACTACTACCACGATGTATGAGTCCACTACAACTACGACTGCTACTACTACTACTATGAATTCTACTGCTAGTGCCACTACTACTACTACTACTACTACTAATCATAGTATTACTAGTACTAGTACGAGTACGACTACTACTATTTCTAATACTACAACTACTACCACTTCTACTACTACTACTAATGCTCCTTCTTATCCCCATCGCGCCCGCTGATTGCAGTCGTCTGCAGCTTCTCGGCCCGATAGCTGCCCCGCTCGCCCCCCACTCCCCTCCCCGCGCGCGCGCGGCCGGGGCGCCAGGGGCCCGCGGGGCCATCGCCGTTCAGGTTTCCTCGACACCTACGCGGCGATCGTCGACTCCGGGTTCGCCACCCCGCGCTGGCCCAAGTCGGTCGGGCCGGCGCCTGTGGCCCGTACGACGAGAGCGAGCGTCGGGGCCGACCGTCCGTTCTGAGCGGTGGTCGGTCGGGCAGGCGCGCCTTTCGGCACCCTGCCTGCCGTGGCCACTGGGCCTTGCTAGCACCGTCGCTGCTCGCTCTTCGGCGGGCGGTGCGGACAGGGCCCATGCCACGTCCTGCCGTTGGCAGGTCTCTCCAGCCTGCACCAGTCTGGTGGTCTTCGGCGCTCTCCACGCCGACTTCGGCGCAAAACTCCTCTCCCTCCTCCTTCGCCTTCTCCCCCTTGGCCTTTGGGGCGGCGGAGCAGGAGGCCCATCTGAGGAGAGGAGTAGGAGGGGGGCCTCACACGCCGCAGCGCCGCGCCTTGCGCCGTGGCGCAGCGCCAGCCCTCGTCTCGGGCGTTCAAAGTGCCGCCGCGCCTGGGGTCTCAGCCGCCGCTTCTACGCAAGACTTTCAGCCGCCGCGACAGAGACGCCCGACGGAGGGCACAGTGGCCAACGGCGCTCCGACGCGCCGCCCAAGGGCTTCAGCCGCCGCGCAAGCCATGCCCGCCATTCCTGCTGCCAGCGAACCCAATGCCAGCGTGTTCAACGCCGAAGCACCAGAGGGGTGCCCTGCGAAGATAACTGCGCTCTTGGGAAGGGAAGTGGTGGACGAGGATCTCTCTTACCTCCCCCCAACTCCTTCTCCTTGCCTCTACTCCGCCACCTGGCTCACCTGTGCCGCTAGGCATGGCGACCACTTTGTGGGCCCCGCCTGCTCCACCGTGGGCGGGGGAGCGTCACTCGCGGGGCACGCGGGCTTTGCCGCCGCCTCGGTTTCCTGGCCTTCGGCTGGAGGCATCGCCGCGGCCACTTCTGCCGACGATGCTGCTCGGACCGCCGGGGGCGGATACATTCGCGCTCCTCCAGGCTTGGACCCGCTGCCTCCTGGGCCTCCGGTCAGGCAGATTGGGCCGCCTCCGGGCCTTGACGTCTTGGAGGTTGGTTCCCAGAGGCTCAGTGCGGCTTGCCCGCGCCGTGGCGCGGCTGCGGCTTGGAGCCCCACGGTCGTCTATCAGGTCCGACCTGGGGCCACGGCGTCAGAGGCCGCGCTTCCTCTACTGAGGACGCCGCCTCCGCCGCCACCGGGTCGCCCCTGGAGCGGTGCGTTGGCCCTGGTGGAGGCGGGGTGCTCCGTCGTCCCTCCTCGGGGTTCTTCGGCGGCCATGTCCGACTGCGGCCTTGACGGGGGTAGTCCCTCCTTTTCGCGGGCGGCGCCGCGGTGTGGCTCGAAAGGGGTTGGTATGCGCCCTGCCAGCGATGCTGATACGGCCCCGCAGGGAGGGGCTCGTACCGCCCCCCCAGCCGCCACCGCAGTCCACCAGCCTGGCACCCCGCCGCGGAGCGGCCCCAGGGCCACCTCGCCCTTACGCGCCGACCTCCACTTGTGGGACCTGCACACGGGCTCCGACACTCAGGGTGT